AATCCCAGGTCCTTCTGCCTCCCAGGAAGGTCTTTCAGGTCAAGGCTGAACCATTCCCCTGGTGATTCAGTGCACAGTGGCCGTTTCTCGTCATTCCGAATTTATACATGAAGTGCATTTAGAAATATGTCCCTGTCAGAATTAAATCATTAAAGATGGGAAATAAAAAATGCCTAAAAACTTTGACTCAGCTTTCTGGAAAAGGTCTTTAAGGCAGCTTTGTTACCATGACTACAGCAAGGTTCCCACCCACCATTCTCTCACCGCCAGCGGCCTAGCCTCCGCTGAAGTGGGTAGGTTTTTTAAGTCAGAATGCTGACCTGCTGTCTCATCTCTGAAGGACACTGAATCCAGCCAGCATTTCTCAATTTTTCTCCCCAAGTGCCTTCATTGAAAGCCTCTGCTGTTGACAGATGTGTCTGTTGTTTGGAACCTATTAAATTTCCACCTCTTGGATACAGCCACTGAACTCCCATTAACTCTGGAGGGAGTCGGTGTGTTTGTCACTGGGAACGGAACTGGGGTTCTTATGTTTTGCTCAGACTAGAAGGTTGGGATAGATGGGTACGGGCAGCCTTGGGTCAGATCCCTCTGCTCACTGAGCCAGACCTTGCTTTTTTCTGTTTCTCAGTGGCCTTGGGCAAAACCGCCCCCGCCCCCCAGCTCTGAATGGCTTATGAGTATATTCATTTCTAATAATTCTTTCCCCTTCTTTCCCGTGGAATTAAACAATTTCAAAGATAACAGACTGTATGATCCTCCGGGGCTGTAGTTTTTTACTCATTAGAGGTGATGACATCTTTGAGAAGGTGAAGTAGGCTGTGGCCCCTCTTCCCAGGGACTTAGACCCACATCCAGAACTGCAGCAGGTGGATCCTGGGTCCCTGAAGCACTTTCATAGACTCTGGGTAAGAACCGGTCTGATCTCTTTCTCCACCTCTCCTCTGGGTTTACGGATGTGTACAGATGTGTCCCCGAGGCCCTGAGAAGTAAGGAGAGTCGCCTGGGGTCATCTGTTTTCATTCTTTCTCCTTGTCTCCTTGCTTGGCTTCTGTTCCCCTGGTCCTGCAGCAATTCTGCAGGTAGCAGCGAGGAAGCAGAGGAAGACCGGCTCACAGGCGTGGAGCAGGACCCTCTGGGCTTGAGAACTCAGACTCCACCCCTTAGACACACACCCTAGAGCATCTCCAACTAGCCTGGTCCAAGTCCTTCAGGGGGCTGGTTAAAGCTCAGATGACTGGGTCCCACTTCAGTGTCTGATTCTGTAACTCTAATGTGGAGCCTGAGAAGGTGCATTTCTAACAGATTCCTATGTGATGCTGCTGGGGCCAGTGTGAGGATGGCACTTTGGGGATGACACCGTCCTAGGAGAGCTCAGCTACAGGCAGATAACTGCCCAGGGAGGAGCTGCAGCCCCTTCTGGCTCCTGAGTTTGATGAGGTGTGGGCTGGGCTGGGTGTTCACCTGCTGGGCTCTCCGTGCGCCTGCTCAGCGGTTCTGCAGGAGGCTCCTGGGAGGGATTGGGACGTAAGTGGGGTGCTTTCAGTTGTCACAGTGTTTGGGAGCACAGATGGCATCCGATGGGAGGGTGCTGGGATTGTCCCTGTCCCTTCCAAAAAATCTAGCAGTGCCCCATCAAGAAACATCAAAACACGACAGTTGACCCTTGAACAACACGTGTTTGAACTGCTCGGGTCCACTTATACATGGATATTTTTTCAGTGAATACTAGTACCTGTATTTTTATGTTACCGATCTTCAAGTGTGGGGTAGAGTTTGTATTTGATCACAATGTATGGAATCACAAAAGCTAGGGTCTGCTTCCTGATGCTGTCCAGACGGTTTCAGCTTCCTGCCCTTGGGTGAGGTGTTTATCAGTCCCTTTGATTCTCAGACAGAGATAACAGTACTTGGATTTTCGGCTGTGAGGGGGTCGAAGCCCCAACAACCCCCGTGGTGTTCAAGGGTCAGCTGTACTTGGGTTTTTCTGAACCCGGTCCAAACTTCCCACTGGCCTGAGTTTGCTTACGTGCTCTCCTTTCAAAATCTATTCACACACGGAACAAAACATACAAAATCAAAACCTTGGCCCACTGGCTTTGAATTTTTGCCCGGACAGGTGCCATTTCTTCTGGGACACATCTCCTTTGAGCCCCCCTAACACCTTTCTTAAACACCCATCCTCTGACATTTGAGCAAAGTTACTTGAGTAGATTAAATCACAGACTCCTTCCTGGGACCGACAAGCCCACAGCAGTCAGCCCCAAGTCTGTCCATCTGGTGACATTTTTTATCCTGAATCACGCTTCAGTCATTTGCTCATTACTGGCTTTGGGTTTGTTTTTTTAATTTTTTTGATGTGACATTGGACCTTCTAAATACTTCATTTAAAATTTTTCTTATTTTGATAAAATAGTCTAGACAACGTGATAAAGTACATGAGGGAGAACAGTGAGAAATACCCCTCCCCACTCCCTGCGAGTTCTCCCCCTGAGGGTGACCACCAGTCCCCACTGAGAGCTTGTACTTCTGTGTTCAACCAGGAATATTTTAGGCTTATGTAAATAGGAATATAGATAAATGCGTTTTTGGGGGGCTGTGTGTCTTGGTCCATTAATGGTGTTACACATGCATTGCCTTGTTTTATATGGTGTTAAGAGAATGTTCTAATTTCATTCTTTTGCATGTCACTGTCCAGTTTTCCCAGCATCCCTTATTGAAAAGACTCTTTTCTCCTTTGCATATTCTTGCCTCCTTTGTCATAGATTAATTGATTGTATGTGTGTAGGTTTATTTCTGGGCTTTCTATCCTGTTCCGTTGCTCTGTGTTTCTGTTTTTATGCCAGTACTATACTGTTTTGATTACTGTAGCTTTGTAGTATGGTCTGAAGTCAGGGAGCATGATTTCTCCAGCTCTGTTCTTCTTTCTCAAGATGGTTTTGGCTATTCGGCTATTGGTTTCCATACAAATTTTAAAATTATTCTTGTTCTGTGAAAAATGCTATTGGTGTTTTGAGTCGTTGAATTTTTAACCTGATACAGAAGCTTGGAGATAGTCACATGTCAGTTTGTCTAGAGGCGCCTCATTATTCTTCATGGCCATATCTCGCTGTGAGTTATCAGACTAGCTCTCAATTTGTGGACGTGTAAGTCCCGTCTAGTCTTAGGTATAACATGCCACACTGCAGCTGAATCCTCTTGCACGTCCTCTGCTCGCCTGTGGCCTTGTCTGTAGAACGTGTTTCCAGGAGGAGATTGCTGGGTCACAGACCTGATAGAGAAAGTGAGAGTTTTCACGTATGTTGGCAAAGTTGGGTGAGGCTCCCTGCGGGAGTGAGGGGAGGTTCTCTCTGGGGAAACGTGCCAACCCCAGGCTACATCTTTTTAGTGTGTTTTCTCACTAACGAGGTGTGTTGTGCCTCGGGGCCAACCTTTTGGGCTTTTGGGGCCACCATTTTGCTGTCTGTGGGATGGTCCCCTGAACTATGGAGTCTCTTCTCCTTCCAGGTGCCTGTGGTTAGCATTTAATTTCCCCTCTGGGGCTGTGTCTCAGTGTAGCACCCTGAACATTTGTTCAGGATTTTCCTGAAGCCTGCTGTTGAGCCCGGAGAATTCCCTCAAGTGGATCGGATTTTGCAAAAGCAATCCATTATCTTCCTTCATGAGCCCGCTGGAAGGTGCGCCACCTTTCTGTCAAAAGTAAACCACTGGGAGGCCTCGCCGGTGGCCATACTGGGCCCTGTTGAGCTGCCCCAGCGGCTCCTGTCCAGACACAGAGGACAGTGACACACACAGCCTGCATGCTGGGACTTGCCCGAGAGTTAACCCTGGAGCGGGAACGCCATCAGGCTATCTTTGTGGAGAGTCATCCTTCCGGACTCCGCATCCCATCCCAGCACCTCTGCTCTCAGCATAGCTGCCTCCCATTCTGGTGCCTGTGGCTTTCACTCCACTAGAATCGTCCCTGATCTAACAAGACAGCCGTCAGGCATGGAATGGATTCAGATCTTTGCAGGTGAAGATTGGATGGTGGTGGAACTGTAAATGTGTTTAAATGAGATGCTGGGAGAATAGGAATAGAAAGGCACAGATGGTCAGAGTGGGGTTGGCATTTTTGAGACGTGAATTGGTGAGCGTGTAGTGTTGATCTCTTTGGAGGAGTGTCACAAACTTGATGCCTACTGGTGACTTTCTGGTGGGTGGGGTATATTCTTTTTCCATAGTTAGACTTTGTTAACCCAATACACATGAATAAATGTCTTCTACAACGAAGTATGTCTGCCTTCATTTTCTTGAAGTGTGTGGTCTATCTTTTCTGGTTTCCTGCTTTTGTCATGGGGCATGGGTGTGGAGAGAAAATATTTCTTTGGGATAAGGGCAGTACTGATGGCTGTGTGACAGCTCATGGCAGCTGGGTCATGGCTTCATCCACAGGGGGACACAGTGCGGAAGGGTGGGGATTGTGGCAAATGGAGGGTACCTTCCCATCTAATACTGGCTGGCTGGTATTCAGCTCTGTCTGGTCCCATGAGGCCCTGCAGGCCCTGATTTAAAAAAAAATTAAATTTTTTTATGGTTATTTTATTTTATTTTTTGAGGGGAGGTAATTAGGTTTATTTATTTATTTGTTTTTAGAGGAGGTGCTGGGGAGTGAACCCAGGACCTTGGTGCATGCTGAGCACACGCTCTACCACTTCAGCTGTACCCCCCACTTTTTAAGAGAAGCCCCAAATCTATTGGTATTATGTGAAGGTTCCCAATTTTTATATTATGGCAGTGAATTAAAATTTTTATAGAAATGTCACATAGGCCAAAGACAGCCTGTCTGACCTCTGAGACAGGCAATGGAGAGGCGGGAGGTAAGTGTGTTTTAGGAGGAAGAACACTAAAATGGCATTGGGTTTGGGGACAAAGTGGGTTGTGTCCCCCGTATCCCCTTCCTGCGGGGCCTCGTCCTCCCTGACTGCTTTAAAATATGTGATCCATTGTGTCTCTTTCAGATCCTGGCTCCACAGAGAGAACAGCCCAGAAAAGAAGGTTCCCCAGCCCTCCGCATTCTTCCAATGGCCACTCGCCCCAGGACACATCAGCAAGCCCCATTAAAAAGAAAAAGAAACCCGGCTTGCTGAACAATAACAATAAGGAGCAGGTAAAGGGCCGCCGGGACTGGCGTCCACACACGCAGCTCTCTGCGTGTACTAGCCACCGGTGTGCTTGGCGTTTAGCAAGCTGCCTTGCCCCGGCTGTTATTTGCATAAGACAAAAAGGACAACTCGAAATGGGCCTGTGTAGAAATTTCCAGCAGGTTTTCAGATCTCTTTTGGGGACAGGGCAGTGACCCAGATAAGATAAAGATACCATCCTCTAGGATTTGGGGATTTTCCTTGGGTGTCTTTTTTTCACACTTTAGGGGTATTTCCCCTTGTGGCCTGGGGATGCTTCCCTGCTGGGCCACGCCCGGAGGGCAGTGCCGAGCTCTGCCTGGAGGTGGTTGTGTGGCAGGAGCGTGCTCCCTTCTGGTCTCAATTTTCTCATCTGTAAAATAATGGGTTAAGGTCAGTGGTGAGAGGAAGCTGCTCTCTCTGCCCATTGCCCACCTCGACGTTGGTAGTTGGTTGCCATCCTTTCTCATAGAGCGGAGTCCCTGGCAGACCCCACCCTCCCTCTGCAGCCAGGGCCAGTCAGCTAGACGTGAGCGTCTGTTCACCAGCTTGGGTCTTGTCTAAGGAACTTTCTATAGCTCTACAATTCTCTGATGCAGGCTAGCGACTCTTCTGACTTAAAAAACCGAGAGATGCTTTCGTGGACCATGAGGTCAAGTCTCCTAGTGCTGGAGGAAGTCAGATGCCCGGAAGCTCTGATACCATTTGAGCAGGGATTCCTTGGGATGTAGTCATCCATTTGTGCAGATCATGGATGCTGAAGTGGGCCCTGGGGACTTGAGGTTGAATATAAAACAAGATTGTTGCTTTCACGGGAGGAAACCTAGCAACGGTTAAATGCCCAGGACTGTGAGAAGGGTATGGTTCTGTGCACGAATCTATTTTCACTCTCAAAATTACATAGCAAAATGCCAGCTCTGCTTTTGCTGTGTGGCCGTGGGCAAGTTAACCTCTTTGTGTCTGGTTTTCTCATTGACTGAGATGGGAATTACGATACCACTGCTATGAAACCCACAGGGCTGTTGTGAAGATGAATTGAGCTAAGTAACTACAACTACTACTACTTTGATTGTTAGTTTTAAAAGTTAATCCAGGGTCTACACTAAGTGGAATAATCACACAGACTATCCATGAAATGATTAAACAACAGTGATAGAAATGTTTGAGGCCTGCATGATTCAGTGTGATAGCCACAAACCACGTGTGGCCATCGAGCACTAGCAAAAGAGGCAAATATACACAAGGAACTGAGTTTTTAATTAAATTTAAATTTAAATGGCTGCCTCTGGTTTGTAGCTACCATGTGGGACAGACAGCTCAGATTTAAGGAGTTGGGAATCTCATTATAGGAGAAGAAGCTGGTGGGTTCTTAAGTAAATTTCTGAGGGGACTGCAGTTTGAAAAAACAGAGTGTTGGTAATAATAATAATACTAAAAGCAGTGCTTACAGTGTGCCCATGCTATTGTAAGCCTTTTTTCTGCATTCATATTTGTAATAACCCCATGAGGAAGGACTGTAGTTGTTTCCATTTTACAGATGAAAACACAGAGGTTCAGAGAGGTTAGATCACCTCCCCAAGGCCTCAGAGCGAGTAAGAAGCTTAGGTCTGTCTGTCTGTCTGGCTTGAAGCTGGTGACCACCCACTCCTGCCACCCAGGAGTCATCCCATATCTGTTGGACTGGAAGACTCAAGAAAGGAACGGGAAGGCCATAGATAATCCCCAGGTTTTAACTTTGTCTGTCACTCAACTTCTGGGGCAAACCCTCTCTTACCAGTTCCCAGTAAGTCACGAAGCAGCATTGTCCCCTCTGGAAAGAGATGGTCTCCTAGTGCCTCGTCTGTGAGTGCACTCACGCTTTGGGAGTTCCTCCCTGGACTGGAAGAAGTGGCTGGCATCTCTGTCTGGAAACTGATCAACTTGGGCAGTTCACGCATTTTCTTCTCTCCTTTCCTCATCTACTTGTTGATACCACTCGTGTAACACTGAAGCCTTGTGACCAGAATGGTGTGTTTGCGACTCTTGGTCCCCCTCTGGACTGGCAGCCTCAGAAAGTGGCCAGTGGCTGCTGTTGCCCAGACTTGGACACAGGGTGGGAGCTCGTGAATGCAGGACACACTCTGGCTGTGGAGCAGAGCAGAGCAGGGGTGCCTGGACACAGGGCATGACGGTGCTTCTGAATAATCTTGGATAGAACCATGGCCCCAGAGGGAAAGGGTTCCACACCTGGACACCTGGCTCCTTCTGGCCCCACTGCATCTGGGAAACTCACCATGTGACCTTGTCTGTTGCTTTCCCATCTCTGAGCCTCAGTTACCTTGTAAAGTGAGGAGTGAAATTCTAAGATCGATTGTAGGTTTTTGTTTTTCACATCTCAAACTCCCTAGGGCTGAATGGCCAGGAGTTGGCAAAGGAGAAATAGCCTTCACTGCAGAGAATAGAAATTCCTGACCCTTGACCCCGTAATTCATTCTAGCATATCATGTTTGCATAGAAGGGGCAGTCTCCCTCACGCACAATCTGTTTTCCGAAGGGGAACTTAAATTCTGCCTCTTTTTTCTTTTCTTCTCTTCCCTTTCCGTTTTCTTTCCTCTTTCTTTTAGAATGAAAAGAATTTTAAAAATGAGGGAGTTAAAAGCAAAGTGTAGGTTTGCATAAGTTGGGTTTTACCAATGTAATATAACTTCTGTTAGTAACTGACATTTGAATGAAGACCGTGAGATTTCAAATAACAACTTGTATTTCTGGGCTCCTGTAAAAACTCAGAAGAATCCAGCAGTAAGCTGGAGTTGCGTAGTGCCTGGGCTGTATAGACACAGGGCCCCTGTGCTCTGGTTTTTCGCACTCCCCACCCCTCCCTATAATGTTACACCCTGCCAGCTTTGCTCTCCCTTCTGCCTCTGGCTCTTTAAGTGTTAAGATTCTTTTGATTTTTTGCAAATAACAAGATTTTATACCCTCTTCCTCTTTTTCTTCACTCTACAGTTCTTTTTTGTGTTCCTATGTTCTAAGAAGAAAACCTTTGTAGCCTAAAAATACCAACCTCCCCCCACGTGTTTTTTCCCATTTTTCGTAGAGACCTTTTATCACAAAATGGAAATAAAGATTAAGTTTTAAGATTTCACCCATTTTTTCCTATATTGGGAAATCATGACTTGTAGGGGAATTTTAAGGGTTTTGAGAAGAACTTCAAGACACATCTATTTTTAGAGTAAAAATCTAAAGTTTCTGATTAAATTTTTTTACAACCCTCTGTCCAGTAAGGTTTCACCTTTTAGGAAAGGTTTGAAAACATATAGGCGCTTTTTCTTGGGACTAGGGTGAAAAGTTGCTTCTGGCATTGTGTGGAGGAGGATCAGGTTGCTAAATGTCCTGCTGGGGCAAGACATACCTTGTGCCAAGGGACGTTAGGGCCTTTACTGAAAAATACCAATTTAATTTGTAGTTCTTGGGACATTTTGAGTTTGAGAGTCCTTTGGGGAGGTTTCCCCTCCCCCACTCCTCCTTTACTCCTCTGCCCCTCCCTTCTTCCTTTTTTCTTTCCCTTTTCCCTTTGCTTTTCTTCTTTTTTCTTTCTCTTTAAAGGATTGAACAATAATCTGCTAACAGATTTATGCCAGAGGGCCTCAGGTATACCTTTGATCGAACATGGCAAAGAAACGATGGGGCCCCTTCATCCCCTCTGAGTGCAGGGGTACACGTATAAATCGGCGGGCTAGGACTTATACTTTGTTGGGCATGGGTTGTCTTAAAAACTGGGACATTTCACAGACCCTTGTTGGGTGGGGGCAGTGTATTAACAGCTGAGACAGGTCAGGGGACAGACAGCAGGGCTGCCCGCTTCTCCCTGAGCCCTGGTGGCCTGGCCCCCCTGGGTGTCGGCCTGGCTGCCTTGATCACGGGAGCTGAGCGCCCTTAAGTCAGGCAGGAGCTCTGCCCCTCCCCGCTGTCCCGCCGGCGCCGAGGCTGGACGCCAGCGTTGTGATTCCACACACTGCAGGGCTGAGCAGCTTTTCTTACTACAGAGATATATTATGCAGATAAACGAAAGCTGGGCGAGGACTCTTCATCTCTGTTACCTGTGTGGCCCTGGAAGGAATTCGAGTTTGTGGTCCCCTCCCCTCACCCCCCAGCCCCACAGACGTGTACCCTGTGCTCACACCCAGCCTCATCCTCTGGTTTATGCAAACCAGGTGTGGCCCGGAGCCCGTTTTTGTGAATAAGGTTTATTGGCCCAGAGCCACATCCTCTCCCTTCCATATCATTGAGATTGCTCTTGCTCTCCTGTGACAAGGGTTGAGTAGTTAGAACAGAGATCACATGACCTGCAAAGGTTCAGTGACTTACTATCTTTAAAGAGCCCTTTTATAGAGAAAGTTTCCTGGCTCCTGGTGTAGACTGAGGTGTTCCAGAAGTGGACGCTCAAGCCTGTGTATTTTCTCACAGAGCCAGCCCGTGGAAGAAGCAGGGAAATGAGAACGTTTGCACTCCAAGCCTGCAATTACCCCGTAACAACACAGGTTGTAACCTGTTTGCTTTACCAGCAGTCTGGGAACAGACTTTGTGCATGTGGGGGCGGCAAACCCTAACTTATTTTACCTGAAATGATTTGCCTTTCCTTTTAAACGTTCCATATCTGTTATCAGATGATTTTTACGGAGTAGGAAACGCTTCGAAGCAGCAGATAAGGCAGGTATCTGATTGACCAGGAGATTACCAGGCAGCTAGTTCTCAGCACCAGCTGCTGCTTCGCTTCAGGAAAGGGTGAAATCTCCTGAAAAGAGTAGAGGGCAGTCCAGCCCTCACTCCTCACCGTCCTCCCAGGAAAGCCACCGTGAGCCAGGCGGGGGCCGGGGCAGGGATGTGGTGGGAAACTTCACTTGTGGAGTGGCAGTATCTCTGCTTCTATTCGATGGAAAAGACTTAGGTTGCCGGCTTGGGAGATGAGCTGTCATGCTCGATTCTTCTCGTTTCATTTAGGTCTTAATGGCTCTTCCTGGCCTATTATTAACTTACTAAAAGGAAGTCAGGCCCTGAAATATGGCTTATTGCTATCTTGCAGAAGCCACAAAGCATCCTGGAAGACCCCACTCAGGTTAGGAATAGTTCTGCTTGCTTGATGAGTACAGTTTATCTTTCAGTGGGAATTCCTTCCTCCTCCTTCCCCTCCGCCAATCCCCCCTTTAACAACCCCCCCACCCCAAAGAAACTCAAACACCCATTTTCCTAGGCGGATAGCAGGTCCTCTACATTGGTGGCTTTCAACTGAGGGTGGTTTTGTCCTCACCAAGGGACACTGGGCAGTGTCTGGAGACATTTTTGGTTATCACACAGTTTTGTGAAGCGAGGGTGCCACCAGCACCTAGCCAAGGCTGATGCCACTCACCCTAAGTGCCCGGGACAGCTGCCTACAATGAAGAATTTTCTGGCCCAAGATGTCATCTGAGTTGAAAACCCCTTGCTCTAGATGCTGGTATCTTTCCATGTCCCCTTCTTTTATGTTTCTAGTTGTCTTTCTAATTTTCAGATCTTTTTTCCCCCTCTCCAGCTTTTTGTATTAAGCAGAAGTTACTTTGAATTATAGAGAATGTTCTCTGAGGGGGTCACTTAATCATCAGAGTTTTTTCTGCATCCAGCATCATCTTATGTGGGGCCTAGTGCTGAGAGAGAGTCCTGGGAGACCCAGGCTGGAGTCCTTGCTCTGGGCTTGGAGGGGGGTCAGATAAATCTTTTTAACCTAGTTTTCTCATCTGTTCAGTAAGATTCGTGGTATCTACCCTGAGTACCTCTGCGGGTGGTTGTGGGGATAAAATGAAGGTGGTGTGTTGGAAAATGTAACGTGGGAAGAATATCGTGACAATGATTTTATTCTCTGGAAACCAAGTAGAGTTCTCTATTTTAAATGTTGAACTGAAACAGGGAAATAACTGTACTCAAGAATTATGCAGCCGCCGTAATAATAAGTCTTAGCTGTGTTCTTAGTAGAAATGATGGTAGGGGGGCTTAGAAGGACTGGTTCACAAAGATTTGCTAAATAAGCATCTGTGAGGCTCTTTATCAAGGAGTCTGGAAGTAGCAGGCATTTCGAGAACATTAAAACCTCATTAAAAAGACCAGGAGCAAGGTGGGGAGGGTAGAGCTCAGTGGTACAGTGCGTGCTCAGCATGCACGGGGTCCTGGGTTCAATCCCCAGTACCTCTATTAAAAATAAATAGATACTGGGGGTTCACAGTCCTTAAGGCAGTAGCCTGCTGCGATGCCCTTTGCCTGGCAAAACAGTAAAGCTGTTCTTTTCTACCCTCTACCCCACCCACCACCATAAATAGATAAATAAATCTAAACCCAAACAAGAAAGCAAAAACAAAAACCAGGAGCAAGACAGGGGTGCCTGCAGTCTCGGCCACTCTTTCCTATTATCCTGGGGGTCCTAGGCAGTAAAAGAAGGCGGAAAGAAAAATACTGTAAAAATATTCAGTGTGGACAAAGAAAACTAATGTTACTTAGAGATAAGGTTTTTAATCAATAAATTATTAGAACTGTTTATGTTTGAGGTCAGTATTAAAAATCTAACAGCCCTTCTGTGTACCAACAATAACTTTTTAGGAAATGTAATAACAAAGAAGGTCCCATTCGCAGCAGCCACAAAAATTATGCAGTTCCTAACCCATATGTGAGCTCTTTACAGGGGAAACGGTAATGCTTTCCTGACGGACAGGAAAGAAGCTTGTTAGACAAGGAGGTTTACTCAGAGGTAGGCACTCTGGTTATGGCTGAGCTGTTGTCCACAGAATCAAGGCTGAATGGGCTGAGTAGCTGTCTCAAGGTCACATAGCCACTTACCAGGTCATTTTGACACTAAGCACCAGACTTTCTCATGCTTTCTGAACAGGATTTCTTACTGGTTTCCAGTAGACATTTTCCTAGTGAGTTTCTTCTGAGGGACTATATGTGCTGGGAGGGTGGGTCTGCTGAATCGTATAAAATATCATTAGGGAAGCATTTCTCTTGCTTACTGCCATGAATTGGCCACCCCCTCTCTCATCTTTCTGCCACTGTTGGTTCTCAGTAGGAAATGCAGCTTTTCTGCGAATACTCAGACCTACCCTGTTCTAGGGTCATGGTTTTAGGGAAGCCTCTTGTTGGCTCTGAGTGCTTTATGCATTGGGGGTAGACTTAAAAACTTGATCATTTTTGGTGACTCAAGTCCAATTGATCTACTCCGCAGAAGACTCCCAGGGCAAACTGCTATACTTTTACTGGCGTTATATGTTTAGATTTCCTTACGTTGGGCTGATAATCATATTAGCAATGTTAGTAATGGTGGCACTGTGTTAGACACATACGTTATGTGATCCCATTGAATTCCAACCACAGTACCATGAAGTTAAGCATTCTCGCCCCCATTTTACAGATGAGAAAATTGAAGCTGAGAAGTTAAGAGACTTGCCCTGAGTCATGCAGCTGGTGGAGCTAAAATATGAACCCAGTTGTACCTGGGTTGTAGCCATTGTACTGTCCTGCTAGGGCTGCCGTAGACACCAGCTTTTCAATCTGTGGCCTCTTAAAATACAAGAAGAAAAGATAAATCTCAATATCCACTAACAACCTGTAAACTCTGTGTTTAGTAGAATAACCCCAGGTGGCTTTTTAATGAATGTGTGAAATGCTGTAATTTTCTTTTGTTGTGATTGATGTATTTGTTCAAATTCCTTTTGAGAATGCACATTTGTTTTGAAACCAAACCTGTCTTTCTTGCCTACATTTCAGTCAGAACTAAGACATGGTCCGTTTTACTATATGAAGCAGCCACTCACCACAGACCCTGTTGATGTTGTACCGCAGGATGGACGAAATGATTTCTACTGCTGGGTTTGTCACCGGGAAGGCCAAGTCCTTTGCTGTGAGCTCTGTCCCCGGGTTTATCACGCTAAGTGTCTGAGACTGACATCGGAACCAGAGGGGGACTGGTTTTGTCCTGAATGTGAGGTTAGTTCCTGACGAGTGAATGCGTTGTCTGCCTCGCTTCCTCTCTTCTCTCTTTCTTCCTTTTATTTGTAATTTTTCGAATAATCCAGACACAAGGAAAAGAGACATTTCTTGCCTTCCGTCTGCTCTATCCTGGTCACCCACTTTTTTGGACCAATCGTGGCAGTGGCCTCAGCACTGCAGCTCTTTGGAAAGACAATTGCACTGACTATCATTTCTGATTCTTCGTGGGTCTCTGGATCACTCTGAGATCTGCAGCCTTCTCTGATTCTCCTGTAATGAACATTTCAGAAATTAACTCACAAACGTCTAACAGCTCCTGAATTTTAAAAAGATCTCATGCTATTTCCCCGCTTCTTGGATGTTGTCTGTACTTCATCATTGAATTGTCGGCAGTAGCCAGGGGAGACCAGCGTTGGTCGTATGTTCCATGTGGTTGCCATCTGATGCTTTCATTCATGCACCAACTGTTTCTCCAGTGCCTGTCAGGTACCAGGGATTCGACAGGGAAACAAAAAGAGGCCTGAATCACATTCTTTTCCACAGAAAAGGACAAAAACCAAAATAAATAAAATCATATGTAATGTGTTTGAAGAAGAGTGTTCTGGAGAAAATGAATTGAAAATGAGGAATAGGGAGTGAGGGGTGTGTGCAGGGTGTTCACATTTTAAATGAAGAGGTCCTGTAAGTCCTCATTAAGATTTGAGAAAGACTTGAAGAAAGGGAAGGAGTGAGCCATGGAGCCGTGGAGCTGTGGGGAAGTCCGTCCAGGCACAGGGGCTGCAGGTGCAGAACCCGAGGCAGAAACTCACCAGTGTAGTGATGGGAACATGTGTATTTCATTTGTACCAAAGCCTAAACATTCTTCGCGAAAACGCTTGTTACGGTTTCTACTCTTCTGAGGTGTCTTCTCATCTTTGCAACTTCCAGCAGTGATGCTTTTTTCAAAATGCTGCAAATAAGAATGTCACCTACAGCATCATGTAATGGGGAATGTCACCTGGACTCAAAGGTATATTGGCATTAGATTTCAAATGAGGATGCTCTCTATGTATAAGATGGAAAGCTCTGTCCCAGATGTCGAGAGTGGGGGAAAAAGCAAACTCTTAGGGTCTGTAACCCCGCTTTTGGGTACTGAAAGGAGAAGAATAAGAAATATATGGAAAGCAATTAGACCTCACATCGGCAAGATGATGACATTTTCATGGAGTTCGGCCCCTAAAATTGCAAAAGATGGCCACCGGTTCTCTTTGGGCTACGATACTCAGGACACGTGTTGCCCAGCGATGCCCTTCTGTCCAGAACCTGACCTCGTTCTGCTGCATTTAGTGTGGGAACTGGAACCTTCATCTATTTCCTGTCTCTCCCACTCCTTCCCGATGGTATAATAATTTTACAGAGAAGATAGTGGCTCGGATAGGATGCTTTTGCTGCAAATAATAAATGTTGATAAAAGGCTGAAACAATAGGGATTTGTTATCATGCGTAGAAAGAACCCAGTGGCAGGCCAGAGTTTGTTCAGAGCCAGACTGTCTGCATTTCATTGTGGAGATGATGTGTCTCTCATGGCCACAAGGTGGCCGCTGAGGATTTTGTCACGTGTAGGTGTCTAGACAAAAATCCCCCTGAAAGGAGTATCTCTTCTCACATTCCTTTTAACCAAACAGAAGATTTTGCCTGTCAGCCTGCAGCTGACAAGCCCTTGGGCTTGTTGGTCTGAGTCAGATCACCAGTCCCCATGCAAGAAAGGCTTGAAAATGTTCATCTGGTACTTTCAGTCTGTAATGTGGGAACCAGGCATTGCCGGCCTGGAGAAAGGGGCTGGAAGAGGGGAGGGGAAGGGGTAGGGGTGAGTGAGCAACCCAAGTGTTCACCATGGAGAGTTACCTGGAAATGAACTGGAATTCAGACAGACAGGTGTTCTGTGTCTCAGAGACCCGAATCTCTTCTTCCGGGGTGAATTGATGAGGTGGTCACCGGGGAAGAAGAGCTGTATCAGACTGAATCTAAGCAATTAGATACGTGCGTCACGGTCCGATTTCAGCTTCTTAGTGCCTCTTCTGTTGCCCTTTTTCTCAACAACCCACCAGACACCCTTGAAGGTTTCCTTTGGAGGAACCAGAGATCTGAAGAATGGAAATGAAATCCAAATTAACTGGAGAAAATTTTTCTCAGCTCTCCCTACACAGATGGTTCAAGAGTGTTTCCTGACATCACCAAAATCTGCTATTTTTGTTGTTGCTGCTGCCTTAAGGATTCTGAAGCTCTGAGATAAAGTACCCGGTTTACGTAGCAGAATCTGGTTTCAGACGTTTCTTTGATGGGAATTCCCCTTACAAAGTGACGTTTATTGCCCAAGAGATAGACAGCTACACTCTGCTCCATGCGTGCTTTGCCAGAACATCCCGAGTGGGTTCACATCACTGGTGACAGAGAATGAAGTCGTATTTATTATTAGTTCACTACCATCCCTTGGATTCTTTCTACAGGGAAGCCTGTCCCCTTCTATCAGTGATGTCATTAAGTTAATGTCTTGTCAGTTTCCTGAAAGATAGCCCAGAACCTTAAGAAGATCAAGTGAAGTAGCTGATTCATTGTATGAAGAAATTACCCTGAAACCATCAGTGGCCTTTCATGTACTCCTTTTTTTTTTTTTTGAATTTCACGTCCTCTTCTCCAAACCCAAGGTTGCAAAAATGACGAGCTTTCAGGTCCTTGCCCACCCGCACCTTTTTCAGATTATATCATCTACAAGAGCTAAAAAACACTTCTTAATAAGGTAATCCATGGATGGGAATTGGTGTGCTTTTTAATTTTTATCCACTGATCCAGCGCACACAAGTTAAGTAGATTGGAGTCTTTGTCAAGTGAAACAATTGGTCTCATTTAGATGGGAATTATTTTTTTTCAGTGTGAGCTTTACTGGCAAATTAGGAGGAAAGGGAAATGAACACATGGGATGTAACTCTTTTCCCTAACTGGATATTTGTGTCATTTGACTTGTAGAAGATTACAGTAGCAGAATGCATCGAGACTCAGAGTAAAGCCATGACAATGCTCACCATTGAACAATTATCCTACCTGCTCAAGTTTGCCATTCAGAAAATGAAACAGCCAGGGGTAAGAAGGCACTTCCTCTTGTTACACGTGTGAATGGGAGCAGTGACTTGGTTTGTTCTCTTTTGTTCACATTCTTGTCCCTGGTGGGTAGTTGCTTTAGCTTTTCAGGTACCTGTGCTTATTACACTTTGGGTCCTGTGTGCCTGATTTCAAATCTCTGTAAGTTAAATAGAGGGCATGACAGCATTCAGTTAATTCTCAAAAGTGAGCACTTTGTGTCCCCAAGGAGTTTAATCAGGAAGCGACAGATAGTAGAAAGTTGGTGGGGATTTAAAGTTTTGAGTTGTTGTGAAGTGAAACTTCATACCGCTTCGGGTCAGGGGGAGGTAATAAAATTCCATTTCGGTGAGAGAGCTGATGGCAACCTGGTTTATTTATAATCAAGGTCTAATGATGGAAACTTCAGGTAAAACTCAAACCACTGAGATTCCCGTAAAGGGTGAGAATTTGATTCATGCCTTCACTTTTAAAATGAGATTTGCTGTACAGCCTTTGCCCTTTAGGGAAAATCTGTATGCGAAAGCAGGACCCCTGCATTCAGCTGGCAAGCCGTGTCCTTCCTAGAGGTTTTCCTCCCAGGAGTCCCAGTCACAGCATAGCTGTGCTGGTTTTGTCATTTTTTTGAGATAGTTTTTAGGAAGACGACAGTAAAATACCTTGCTTTTAAAAATAGCATTTTACGACAAGATAATCAACATGTTATGACATTTTTTTTCCCTACAGAGACTTGGGTTCTGTTCTGATGTGCACAAAGGTACCACATGGACTAGTGGTGACTCTTTGTGAAACTCCCCACAGTTGGTTTTCGAAGTCAGATGAATATATGGAAATGTAGAATCTTAGAGCTTTTAGAAACCACGGTGGTTTAAGTTCTTTAAAAAAAAAATAGAAGCTTTAGTTTTGAGATTATGTTCTGAAATCTGATATCATGATGAAAAAAATTCAGAGCATACCAGTTGGGCGTTGCTAAATTGGGAACCTGTCTGTCTCTTTCGCAAAATCTCCGTCAATGGAAGCAAAAGTAGATAGTCTGAGTCTTATAAAAAAAAACAGACTTTGACAAGAATAGATTCATGTAGATTTGTCAACACTGTAGAATTAAAAAACCAAAAAAAAAAAAAAGAAAGAAGAAGAAGGTGTCAGTTTCTTATGTAAATTGTTACAAAATCAGTCAGGGCAGAGAGCTGTGGATTTTGTGGAAGCATCTTTGTAACTTACAAGGGCCAAGCTGATTCTGGATAGAAGAGAGCTCGGAGGACTGCAAACGGTAATCCACTCAGATGCCTTGCTTGAGCATAATTTGGTGTTCAGTTAAGTCTTTCAGTATTTTTTTTTTTGATGAGTAAATAGCACCCATCAACAAACCTGGCCTTACATTTTGAACTGATTCAAGTAGGGCTTCAGAAAGTAGATCAAGCCACAAAAGCTTTACAGAGTCCCTGTGCTGAAGGTAATTTGGCTCCTCAAAGGAGGAGCAAAATCTCACTAAACTTTGTCTCCATGTGTTGAATATCTGTTGGCACTTAGGGAAGCTTTATTTGGCGTTACCATCTCCAGGGGTAGCCAGACTTGACCCTCAGTCAGTTCCGATTATGGACGTTTGCAGTGTATAGATAGGTGTCCTTTGGAGTTCAGGTCTAAAGTAATTGATAGCGTGTTGTTCTTGTCAATCTTAATTTAGGAGGCCTGGACCTGTAATTTGAGTATACATTGAAAACAGAACAAATGACAAAGCTGAAACACAACTGGGCCCATGATTATTGATAACCAGGCAGAATTAGAAGGTGCACTAGTTTGGAGCTTCTCAAGGTCCTGTTTCTGTAGAAAGCTTTAGAACTGTGTCGTCTGGGGGGTTGTCTCCATTGTTTCAAGTACTTTGCTGCTGGTGTTGGTGCTTGCTCTTCCACAGCAGTGACTGGGTTTGTGTCTGTATACGCATCTTTTCTTTCTTTTATAGACAGACGCATTCCAGAAGCCTGTTCCTTTGGAACAGCATCCTGACTATGCGGAGTACATCTTCCATCCCATGGACCTTTGTACATTGGAAAAGGTTGGTTTCCATCCAAGAGCCCACAGTTGTCAAGATGACTGAAGGCCCTCCCTTCCTTCCCATGCCCCATCTCCAGTTCCATGGTTTCTCTGCATCTCCCCTGCGCCATTTTTATTTGGATGGGAGAACTCTCAGTTCCCTATAACTTCCTAACATTTTCCCAAGGATTCCAGAGGGGTGTTGAAATCCACTGCTTAGCTCCAAATATTACTCCTGCTAGTGATGCTTTGTATCTGAGAAAGTCGACAGCTTCTAAGAATTAGTGAACTGATGGATTTGAGGCTTGCCCTTCTCTTTCTTTCGGAGGTGCTAATGAGAACAGCAGGAAGGAAGGAGAGAAAGTTACATGTCTGGGAAACCTCCGTGTTAGCAATAAATATGTGGCTTCTTAGATCATGACTTACTTCACTGATAAGGATATTTCTTTAATGCCTGAAGGTGCTTTTAAAGGTTCAAGCTAAAATTGCTTACTGAAAATTATACTTGTAAGATTTGTGTATGTCATCCCGGTGCTGATTGCCCAATTGCACCAAAATATAGTTAAAGAAAAGCATGGATGAGATGAAAACCTTACTTTACATTGTCTGGATTAATGTCCCCTCCCCCCCCAAACAATAAATCCAGGCTGCTTTGGAAAATTGCACACACCCTCATGGTATTATAAAAAGAAGGCATTCCAAAAAGACAAGGTTGGCATCTTAGCTTCATGAATTAATAGCTTTGGAACTTCGGATTAGTTCCTTAACATTACCATACCTCAGTTTCCCTGTCTGTAAAATGGAGATAGTAATTGCTTCATTGAGTTTTCAATTACGAGGCTTATGTGAGACTACAGTTACTAGTCAGTATGTAAATCTATAAAATACCCTGGTTCTTTGGAAGAAGCCATTTGATAAATGACAGTGTTATAAGATGAGAAAATTCAAGTTAGTGTGATGAATTCAGTGAATGCATTTTTATAGAGTTATAGATCTCAGCTATAATAGCATCTTGGGAAATGAGTAAAAGCATTAATTAATTTGGCAAATGACTGCTAAGAAAATGATGTGGGGACGCAGGTGTTGCTGGCTATGCTTGTAAAGACTCGCTGGTGATTATTTTCCATGACTTTTCTCCCCAGAACGCTAAAAAGAAAATGTACGGCTGCACGGAAGCCTTCCTGGCTGATGCGAAATGGATTTTGCACAACTGCATCATTTATAATGGGGGTGAGTGGCTTAGATGACATCTAGGAAAGAGAGTACGCTGTGTGGTGCCCATTTTCCTACCCTTCAGACAAAATCAGGCTCTTTTTTCATGCCTCAGGGCCAATAGCTTAGAATCCTTGTGTATAGATTGCTGACGTGTGAATAGGGGGCAGCAACTATGTACATTTTAGGGTCTGAGCCAATGTCCGTAGGGGCTTGTGACTATACGATGCTGTTACCTGTCCTTTTTAAAAACCTTACTTTACTGGAGGAATACTTACATAAAATAAAAGCACAGATTTTACAGGCACATTCCATGAATTTGACAAATGGGTAACCACCTCTATAACTAAAACCCCGAATAAGATCCTAGAACTTTTCTGTTGCCCTATTATATTCCTACTTGCCCCTCTCCATTAAACCCACCCTCCTCAGAAGGAACTGCTGTTCTCTCTTCTGTAACTATAGGTTACTTTTATTTATTCTAGAATTTCCTGTCATTGGAGTCAAAGTACCTCATTTTATGTATGGCTAAGTTGACAGAGCTGAATATTTTGGGGGTTCATTCATGTTTCCCAACGTGTGTATCAGTGGTTTGTTTCCTTTTATTGCTGAGTGGCTTTTCATTGTTTCCACGTGCAGTTTATGTATCTGTTCCCTTTGTTGATGCTGGTGGATATTTGAGTTGTTTTTGGTTTTTGGCTATTACGAATAAAGCCGCTGTGAGCATTCTTACACAAGCCTTTGTGTGGACATGTGTTTTCATTTCTCCTGGGTAAATAAATACCCAGGAATGGTATTATTGCTACATCATTGAGTAGGTTTATATTTAAATTTATAAGAAATTTTACCGAACTCTTTTGCAAGTAGGTTGTATCATTTTACACTCCTCCTGGCAGTATATGTGAGAGTCTTTGTTGCTCCATATCATTGTCAACACTTAGTCTTGTCTCTTTTAAATTTTAGCCATTCTTGAAGGCATGAGATACTGCGTCATGGTGGTTTTGCCTGTCTCTGATGACTAAGGGTGTTGAGTCTCTCCGTGTGCTTATTAGTCATTTGTATATCTTCTGTTGGTAAAATAATCTGTTCACATCTTTTACTCATTTCAAAAATTGGCTTGTTTTTGTTTTTATTGTGGAGTTTTAGGGTTTCTTTATGTTTGGGATAAAATTTTGTCTGTGGTATTTTTGTGAATTGAGCCTTCTGGACAGAATGAAGGAGGATTCCCATTGAAATCCCCTTGATGGCACCTTTCCCATTACCCTGCCTTCTCCCACAGTCCTCTCTGCCTGTCTTCTGGCCAGGTAGGCCTTTCAGAGTCCTGCCCCATCCTGCCTCTCTTAGCCCATGCTGGAACACTTTCCCCCTTCTTGCCTTGATGATTTTTCCTTATCCTTCAGTCCTCTGAGGAGCCTTCGCTGGTGCCCCAGACCGTCCTGTGTACTCTTGTTAAGGGCTCTCCTGCTACCTGTACTTCCGCGTGACAGCCTTTGTCCCATTCCCTGGATGGTGCTTTTTTCATTTGAGTTGCTCACCAGGATGTCAGCTCATTAAGGGCAGATGCCACATCTGGTTTCCTGTTTACTCCTGGGCCTAGCTGATGTTTGAGGGCAGATACATGAACGGATGGCTGTCTGCTTAAAGTACATGTTTTGCATTAATAACTCAGTAGCAGGGCTGGGGGTGCAGGGAGGGGAGAAAGAAAGGCACCTAGGCATCCAGAATCTGCGTAAAGGTTATATACGCAAATACATAGAGAGGCCGGTAAGATCATATAAACAAGTGAATGAGGTGAGGTAGCAGAAAAACAGCAGCATAAGCTGGGATGACCCCTGGCTGTGGGGAGACCGCAGGGAACAGGGATCTCCTGCCTGATCTGGAGGGGTCGCCACCGCTCACTCCAGTGTCTTGTTGGATACAGAGTTCTCAGATCTTCCGAGTTTTCAAGGCAATCTAGAAATCTAGGTATTTGTGTGTGTGTGTGTGTCTATGTATGAAGTCTTTTTGCCACCAGATTCACAATTTCTAAAAATACAATGTTTGAAGAAAACATGGCTTTTTGGCCATCTTGTCCTCTGGCTTAGTGAGAAGGTGGCGAATTTAGTTAGACCTGGGGCCATATCCTCAACTCATTAGCTAAGTGGTCTCATATAAGTGATGACTTCTGAGCCTTGATTTACTCATTGGCCTGCCTCCTGATACGACTTCTTGAGAAGTTAACAAGAAAATGTGTTTCAAAGCACCAGGCACACCAGTTACTCAATTAAATGTCTCCTTTCCCCTGTATTGTTGAGTTGAAGTCTGGGACAGTTGGTAGAAGGGGGCCCCTCTCTACTAATTTGAACCTTAGGAATATAAAAGCATCTTTTCAAATATTAATTCATGAACTGCAGGGAAACCAGCACGAATGGCTTAAGTTTCAGAGAAGATGTCATCCAGGCACCAAAAATGGATTCATGGGACAAGTCACATAATTTGAACTAATGTTAGAAGCCAGAAATGTCTGGTTTTTAGTATGTAAAAGATTAAAGAAAAGGGGTGTAGCAGGGGAAGCAAATTAAAAAGTTTTTAATGGAAATATAATCCCAAGACTGGGCCTTTCAGTGTTTCCATTTGAATTAATCCTGTTTTCTTATTCCCGTAGGAAATCACAAATTGACGCAAATAGCGAAAGTAGTCATCAAAATCTGTGAGCATGAGGTATGTGTTTTCCCAGGGTCACCTCTGTAAGTGTACCTGGAGTGAGGGTTTGGGGTGATTCAAGTTTCCATTTGTGGAATCTCCCACAGTGGGCAGCTGTGGGATTTTGTTGCGGCACAGACAGCGCCCCCTCTCTTCAAGGAGAATAAAAGCAACAGGGGGTCCCTAATATGTTAATAACCCCCTAACCGCAGGGCAAGACCACAGGGAGGTAGTATTTTTCAACTTTGACTCATGGTCACGCGTTGGATGACCTGAGTTTTCTTGGTCCCATAGAGTTCCTGATTTCTTGGCCCCGCAATCAGTGGCACTGCCTCAGGTCCCTTTCAGCCTTCTTGCAGGAGTTGTTTGGGTTTTTATGTTACTTGCAGGGAAGGCCCTGACTTTCTCAGAGTGGCCCATGTGTCCTGAAGAGTCTGTCCCTCTCACAAGTGCCCCATGGTTTTGGGGGTGTGGGTGAAATGAGCATCCTGGGCTGGGTGCCCTGAGGCTCCGCCGGTTGCAGGACAGGCTGATGGCGAATGGCACGTGGGAGACTTTCTTTGTTGCTCCCTGTTGTGAGCGTAAAAAATCAAGATGTAATGGCCTTCGACTTGTCTGCACTTTTATCCGTGCACTTGTTGATTTGTAAAGAAAAAACATTTGGATATCTTAGAATATGTCCATGTCTGTATCTTTGTACGTAGGGAGTTTTATAATCTACATTTTTCACTTGGAGTGTTTTCCCAGGTAATTAAACACAGGAGGAGTAGGATTTTCATGACTGTTCTCATGATTTATTTCCTCAGCATAATTGTTAGAAATGCAGCTACCAAATCCGAGGCGGTAAATGTGGCTTTGTTGTTTTCTTGAAACACTATAGCATCTTATACAATGACCTGGACAAATGTGGTTTTTCTGTGTCCTTTGCCATGTTGGAAGTTCTAATTTACAAAATACATGTGTATATGTTTTTTGCCCCAATGTAATCAGTAAAAACAGTGGCATCTCACTGTGGTTTTGGTTTGGATTTTTTTGATGCAAGTGATGGTGGACTTTTTTTGATATGGTTGTCGGTGATTTGGAATTACATGTGGATGAGTTCAGTTTTTTTCCCCTTGAGGGTTAGTTTCCCTGGATTTGGGCGCTGAAGCCTGGACTTTGAATCAGTGGATTGCCACAAGGGAGAATTTATTGACACCAAGATGCTCTTTGTCTGGCATTCTGAACCTTCCTCTTGACAACAACACACTGCTGCTTCGTGGGCTCCAAGGCCAGGGCTGCCCTGGACCTGATGTTGCCACTTTGTTCTACCCAGTACTTTGGAATAGCCCAGGAGGAGAGTGGGGAGAAGGAGGAAGTCGATCCCACCATTCATTCATTCATTCATTCATTGATTGCCTGAGTCAGTCAGACCATTACAATTAATTATATCTATAAAACTGTTAAATAATAGTCACTAACTGAGCACCTGCTATGTATCTGGCACCTTGCGTGATGCGGGAGATAAAGAGCAAAACAAGCTGCATGTTAATGGAGCGTAATAGCCACCAACAGGGCAGTGGTTGGTGACGTGTGTGGGCTTTGGAGCCCGACTGCCTGGGTTCAGACCCTGGCCCTGCCACTTTGTCCGGTGAGACCTTGGGCAGGTCTCATTGATTTCTTCAGGCCTCATTGCCTCCCTCTGTGAAATGGGGTTATGACCAGCACGAGAGTTCATACCCGTATAATGTCTGCCGACGAGCACACTGTAAATGTTAGCTGATGCACTGATGACTCTGTCACTTGGAGTGCTTCACACTGATCTCATTTGATTTTTGTAAGAAATCTGTCTGGTAGGTGCTGCTTTCATCCCCATTCTATGAGAAAACGAAGGCTCAGACGAGATAAGCAACTTTCCTAAAATTACAGATCGTGTAAATGCTGGAGTCTGAGTTTAGATCCAGGAAGGGAGCTTCTGGGGCCCTTAGTTCTATGTCTGATGGTTCTTGGGGGGCATGCACTTTCTCAAGAGGGAGAAGGACAGTAAGTCAGTTACAGACTTCTTCAGATTGCTATCTGTGAAAATGAAATAGGGTCACGTGGTCTTAATTAACTGCTCCAGATGGTGTGGTTAGAGATGCATAGAAATTGAGCGTGACAAGCAGAGGTCAGAGGTGCGGGAAGGGATGGGGGAGCTCAGACAAGGTGGGCCTGGGCAGCCCACACATGGCCTTGAAGGAACTGACCAGCTGTTTGGATTTCATCGTTAGTTTCTCAACCTCAGCACTGCTGACATTGAGGCTGGAGAAGTCTTTGTTGCAGAAACTGTCCTTGTTCCATCGTAGATTCTGGTTGCAACTGTCCACTCCCAGTTGTGATAACCGAAAATATCTCCAGACATTGCCAAGTATCCCTGGAAGGGTTAAAAAGCCCCGAAAGAGAACCACTGGTCTAAGGGGCCCTCTAAGGGGAGGGCCCAGATTGGATCTGTGTTTGTGGAAGATGACTCTGGCTGCCGTATCTGTGTGGAGGATGGACCGTAGTTGGGAAGCTGGGAGACAAGGTCCAGAGAGAGATGAGAGTGGCTTGGGCCTGGTGGGAGCACTGGGGTTGGTGAGAAATAGCTGGCTTAATGTCTAGGGTGGTCCCCACCTTGGGACTTAGTTGTCAAATCATCATGCATTTCTTGAGGGCTTGTGCACAGAAGGCCCTTGGGAATGACACAGTCTAACACGTTTTTGCTTTGCAGATGAATGAAATCGAAGTATGTCCAGAGTGTTATCTAGCTGCTTGCCAAAAACGAGATAACTGGTTTTGTGAGCCTTGTGTAAGTTGGATTTCCTTTCCTTTTTTCGTTTTGCGAATTCTTTACCTTGCATGACCCAAGACGGCTTTCTCCAGGTGGCTTACTTGATGGAACTTTGGGTGAAGTTTTTAAAATAATTTTCTTACTGATCAAGTTGTGGCAGACTGGGAGTAATCCAGGCAGGATAAACCGCTTTGCTGAAAGTTCAGGTGCCAGAGGCAGCATCATGATTTACTGGGCTCATTAGCCCTAGAAAACAGCAGGATGCAGAGTATAAAAAGCAGCTCATTGGGGTGGAGGGACACACCCAGGTGATGCAGATAATGAGATCAGTGTTAAATGAGTGTATTATTTGCAGACCAAGTTGGGTCTGTTTTAATTTTTGTTGTGTTTTTTGTTTTGTTTTGGGGGAGGTAATGAAGTTTGTTTATTTATTTATTATTTTTAGAGGAGGTCCTGGGTTCAATCCCCAGTACCTCTTGCATGCTAAGTATGCGTTCTACCACTGAGCTATACCCTCCCCCTGGGTCTGTTTTAAGAGGTTTGGAAATCCCTCTTAGGATTAATTCCATGGTCTCTCCAAAGCATGGTTCTTGAGGGTGGGATTCGGGGTGGGGGGAGGCAGTCACCCTAGTTGCCCCCACGGATCTGCGTTTTCCAAACTGGGGTTCTGCAGAGAGAAGTGTGTTGTTGGGGTGGGCTGGGAGAATGGGGGTGGGGTGGGCAGCAGGAGTGGGCAAGTGACAGTTGAGAATCAAGACATCATTTATGTCTTTTCCTGCCTTTGGAGATGACCATCTGAATTGCTAAAGCTTGAGGAAGGCTTTAGCGATAGAATAAAGGTGGCTAATACTGTCCCTTATTGTTTGCTGGACATAATGTGCATTTAAATTAACCCTCCAGCTCAGCAGAGGGCGTAGGTATTACTGTCAGTCTGTTGCCCAGACGGGTACAGTCTCTTGCTTCTTCCCACCCATATGATAGAGGCACAGCCAGGATTCAACCCTGGTTTTGTCAGCGTTCCTCCCTTCTTCTCGGTTTCCCTGTTTAACCCCATTCCCAGCCATGTGCAGGAATGACCGGCCACACAGCTAGGGAATGCCACGCGGGGAGACCCAGCTTGGAACTTTTTCAGTTTGTGGCCTGAATCACACACCGAACTTTATCTGCATATCTTGATGTCAAATGCCTACCAACACTGGATTTTGTTTTTCTTTTCCTAGAGCAATCCACATCCTTTGGTTTGGGCAAAACTGAAGGGGTTTCCGTTCTGGCCTGCTAAAGCTCTGAGGGATAAGGATGGGCAGGTTGATGCCCGTTTCTTTGGACAACACGACAGGTGGGAGTTAAACACAAGCTTCAAACGTGTAGCTTTAACCGAACCTTTGATACTGTCAACAGATACGAGATGGGGATGCGGGTGGCGTAGGGGTATGGCTGTTATTTTGTCTTGATACCAACCAGGGCTATGGTAAGCCGGATTATGCATGGGCTTCAGTTTTTTCAGTTATGTTAGGAAAGAACCTTGCCTTCGTGGCTTTGTTGATGAAACCGACATCAGAATAGGTTTCCACATCTATTTTAAACACTGCTGTTCTTTTTGATTTTTCTAGAGTAAATTAAATCACCACACAAATTGTTCTTCAAAATAATGCTTTCAGGGATCAGAAATATTTCCCCAGATTGCCGGTAAATGAATCTCCCATCGTTGTGCTGGGTAGTCCCCTCCTATTTCCTTTTCTGTGGAGCTAAAATGGGAAATTACAAGGGGTTGCTGTTTTGACAGGTGTGAGCCCTCCCTCCCAGCCTTTGCGCCCTCCCCTTTCCTCTCCCGGCGAACTGAGTTATGCCAGCTAATAGCAGTTCTCTGCAGAGTGCAGCCCCCTGCCAGCTGGAGAACAACAGGTAGACGGCAATGAGCGGCAGTGAAGCGCTCGATGCCCTTTTTAGCAAGTTGTGTTATGATTAAATGAGGCTAAAACCCTCTGGAAGCCCTTCCAAGCAGTCTGAGAGAGAGAGAGAGAGAGTGTGTGTGTGTGTGTGTGTCAGAATATTTTAAAAGGCACATTTTGAAAATTATTCCCACCCACAGAATATTCAGAAAATACAGTTTATCGTTTTAAACCACACCAGAAGCTGAATTATTGCCTTTTGTTAAATTTTGCTTGTCATCTTGCAAATAGAAAAAAAAAAGTGAATTTCAAAGTAATCTACAAAATCATTTACTAGGAGTCCTGGCTGTCCATTGACAGGAAACAGAATGGAAATTAGCTGAGATGGTACAGGGTGTGATAGGAAGTGTTATACTTTGGTTTTGACCATTTTCATTGGAAATCTTTCTAAAATGAATTTATTCATTCAAAGAAATATATGTTCGGTGCCTGTCGTGTGCCAGGCCAGGTGCTAGATGCTGGGGGTGCAGGCGTGAGCTGGTGGACACTGCCCTTCGGAAGGCTGACACCCCAGTAGGGAGGACAGATAATACCCCAGTAAGCAGTCGGCGGTGTGATCTCAGGTTGGGAGGGAGCGGCGGGGGCCACGTGAGGATCTGGATTGAGGGACCAGAGGGTGCGGGGACCGAGGCAGGGAAGGGCCAAGGCTGAGTGTGTGCAGGGGAAGCCAGGAGCACAGTGTGGTGTGAACAGGATGAGGGAGGAGAGGGTGGTCAGAGGTGGGATCACAGGGGTGGGCAGGGCCTGGGTCACCAGGGTTGCTATCAGAAGTCTGGTTTTTATTTGAAGAGCAGGAGGAGTTGGTAGCAGATTGTACATCTTTCTGCCTCTGCATTAAAGCGTGACACGTGTAAATGAACCAACCACCCCGATGATTCGGGATTAGTCTTGTTCTGCGGTACAACACAGCGTGGGTATACTTAGGGTATTGGTGGGCTTTTGTCCCGAGGCACCAACCATTCTCAGGCCCTTAAGAGTCATGGATTCTCTCTCAGCTCCACCCACTCTGCCCCAGCCTCTTCCTTCCACCTGTCTCACAGCCACTGAAGATGGCGTAGGGAGTATGAGCTTTGCCAGTCCTGTTTCCAGAGGCTGTTTCCCCTGAACTTAACCAGTGTAGGCTGGTTCTGGGCGGGAGCTGTGCTGGAAGCCGGGCCCCTACATTTGTTAAAAAAAAAAGACAGCAGCCCGAGTCTGATGCCCCATGAGGTTTTGCTAACCCTCCATCCCTTGGGAGGAATGTGTTGAGTTCTTGGACTCATACTGGCTAAGGGGTGTGCATTGGGGGAGTTGTTAAGGACATCCCACTGGTGGGATGTTTCGCTTGGCCTTGGGCAGGGAGTCACTGACAGCTGCAGGAAAAGCCACTTCTAAAATGAGGATGTCTTTTCCTCCCCAGAGAATTTTTTTCTTTAAATTAAAAAAAAAAAAGGATGTACTAGGGATTAAATCTGGAATCTAATGCATGCTAAGCATATGCTCTACCACTGAGCTATACCCACCCCTCCCCACCCCCTGGAGATATTCTTAAAGCAGAATGGGGCAGGCTTGTTGACAGTCTGCTCTGGGTCAGACCCAGGAACACAAGGCGGACTAAAGGGAGACTGCACAGGGTGTAACAGGCTGTCCTTGACTCAGGGACCTGCTCTGGGGTTGCAGAGCCAATGTGTAAGCCTGGGCCGGGGTAAGCAGAGTAGGAAATAGCCCAGACCACTGCATGTTCATTGTCAAGTTAATAGATGCTAGAGAGAGCCCCTGGGGGGCTCTTGCACAAATCAAGACATATTCTAAGGACTCTCATCACGAGCCTTTTGTCCTTTAAAAGATTTTTCTTTTTTTCCCCCCCTTTGGTTTTACTTCACAGATAGACACACAATATTATATAAAAATGTAGAAAATATTTTATTAAATGCCTGCAGAGCTAAAAAAAAGAAATAGCTGGCATTAATTGAATGCCTTTATGGCAGCAGGCACTGTGCTTTTTGTAGAAGCCGCTTTTATCTCCATTTGACTGATAAGAAGACTGAGGCCCAGAGGTAGGAAGCAGCTCAGCTGTGTGACTCTGGGGCGCCTGCGGACATCGCACTCCCAGGCCCTCGGCTTTGTATTGTTAAGCAAATCTGATTTCCCTTTTGGTGTTTCCCGGGCCTGCTTTAAGGAAGAGAACACTTTATTGAAATCATTTATGAAGCTGCTGCTTGAGGTTAAGGCCCTGATTCTAGGCAAAAGTGTGGTGGAAAAGATCCCAGTGACCATCTGGCCGATCAGCTCCTGTTGGTGCGAGGACTGGTCAGGCGCATCTCACTGGCCTCCCTCAGCATCCCTCCAGGCAGGGGCTCATCCTCCATCTCAGGCTGGCTTAGAGAAGGGGAGTAACCTGTCGGGGGCAGCCTAGGGACCCCCACTGCTCCTCAGCCCTGTCTGTCCAGCCAGGCTCCTGCCCACCCAGCTGAAACCTACAGAGGCCCCGCAGACCCTCAGCCTGAGGGCGTTTGGCGCCTGCCCAGCCCTCACTCTGTCTGGCTGCACCTGTGGTTCCTCAGGTCTCTGCAGAATGACAGCAGCGAGTTGGAACGGACGAGAAGCTGTCGATTTCCAGCACTGAGAGAGCAGGGAGGTATTTTTGGGCGTTCAGCGTTCATTTGTGTCGTGATGTAGCATCACCAAGAGTTGTGAGCAGCCAGCCTGCGTCCTGAATTCTGTCCCATGGACAGACTTTATTTCTCTTTCTTCATTTGATTTTCTCTTAAAAATGGATGAATAAAATGTCAGCTGTTAACATTTGGGGACAGTAAAATATAAGAAGTCCATATTTTCTCTCTAAAATCATGGAAGACTTGGCAGTGTTGGGACCAGACAGCATCTAAGTAGATGGCGCTGGATTAGGTGTGAGTTTGCTACCTCCCCACAGTCTACTTCGCTCCCTATTGCTTTGGGTTTCTTTCTTTCTTTCTTCCTTTTTTTTGGGGGCGGGGAGATAATTAGATTTATTTATTCATTTTGATGGAGGCACTGGGAATTGAACCCAGGACCTTGTACTTGCTAAGTACACACTCTGTCACTGAGCTATACCCTCCCCCTCTGCTCCCTATTGCATTGTATGTGGCTTGAGTTTATAGTCTGTGAAGTCCAAATAGCCTCCTAGGAGAAGCTCATTCCCATCAGATTCCCAGCTACAAACTGGGTTGAGGCTGAGGAATCAGATGCCACAGAGTTACACCCTGGATGTTCTGTATTGGCCTCCTCAGAGCATGGCAGTCGTGTTCACATCTCCTGCCAGCAGTCACTTGGGTGGCTCATTCCAGAAAAGCAGCTCATTTTCTCGTGAATTTCTGCAGATGCACCCTGGGATGTGGGGAGTTAGAGGGCACAAACCGCAAGGCTAATAAGCTTTTTTTCCATTATTTTCCATGTGAATTATCTCACATTCAAAACCACACACCTCCTCCTGGGGTTGTAGTTTTCCAACATTTCCTTGCATAGAATCCCAATTTTAAGAAGAGAAAAGAAAGCTCTCCATATCTGAGTGCAGGAAAGTGAGGTTAGGGGATAATTGCTCTTTTCTGAGGTTTAGTCCAGGTTGCAGGGACAGTTTGGCTCTACCAACCCAAAGCCAAAGGGGATTTATTATTTTTTTTAATGGATTAAAGGGCTGTTGAGTCATAGTTAAGTTTCTAGTTCATGTTTGGTCCTTATGACAGAATGTGTTTGTTAAATGGATCATTTATTAACCCTTCAAACTGAGTTATGTTTAAAAAGTGGAGTATGTATTTAAGAATCTTGGCAGATCCGCTAGGCTAATTTGGTTTGCATTAAGGAAAGGGCAGTTCTGGAAACAAACTAAATGACAGATGAATGGATCAAGAAAATGTGTGTCCATACAGCGGAATAGTATTCAGCCTGGAAAAGTATGTGGCAACATGGCTGAACCTTGCGGACGTTGTGCTAAGTGGAATAAGCCAGTCACAGGCAAATACCACACGATTTTGCTTGTAACGAGGTATCTAAAATTGTCAAGTTCTAAGAATGGTGTGTTAGTGGAATGGTGGTTGCCAGGGACTAGGGGGAGGGAGAAATGCGGAATATTAATCAACAGGCATAACTCAGTTAAATAAAATGAGTAAGCTCTGGAGATGGTATAGCACCGTATACCTGCAATTGACAATAACGTGTTACACACTTAAACATTTGTGAAGGGGGTAAAACTCACATTCAGTGTTCTTGCACAATAAAATAAGTTTTCTAAAAAACTTAAGAATCTTGGAAGCGACCAGAGCCAGACTTAAACGCTCTTTCTCTTTTGTACTCCCAGGGCCTGGGTTCCAATAAATAATTGCTACCTCATGTCTAAAGAAATTCCTTTTTCTGTGAAAAAGACTAAAAGCATCTTCAACAGTGCAATGCAAGAGATGGAGGTTTACGTGGATAACATCCGCCGGAAGTTTGGGGTCTTTAATTACTCTCCGTTCAGGACACCCTACACGCCCAACAGCCAGTACCAAATGCTGCTCGATCCCGCCAACCCCAGCGCCGGCGCCGCCAAGATCGACAAGCAGGAGAAGGTCAAGCTCAACTTCGACATGACGGCGTCACCCAAGATCCTGATGAGCAAGCCCATGCTGAGCGGGGGCACGAGCCGCAGGGTCTCCCTGTCGGACATGCCTCGCTCCCCGATGAGCACCAACTCCTCGGTGCACACCGGCTCCGACGTGGAGCAGGACGCTGAGAAGAAGGCCACGTCCAGCCATTTCAGCGCCAGCGAGGAGTCCATGGACTTCCTGGACAAGAGTACAGGTCAGTCCAGGTGGGGCACAGTGGAGCAGGCCCCTGGGGCCCAAGGCTTTCCCTCGGGGCCACGCCTGTGGGGCCCTAGCTGGTCAGTGTCACAGGATCAAAGGGAGCGGTGTGGGGTTTCAGCCCAGTGGAGCAGATTTTAAATTTTAAAGGAATCACCCATTGGGATTCTTGCCGATAGGGACCCCCAAAATGAGAAAAGTGTTCTCAAAAGGCCAGCTGGAGGTCATTCCTGGAAGTGAGCAGAGGATGGCCAGAAATCCTTCAGCGTTCATTTCAAACGCCTCTGAGATAAATCAAAACTTCCTGCAATAGCTTTTTGTTTTCTTTCCCAAGAATTTCGTTTTAACTGAAACATTATTTCTCTATCAAGACCGTGTACTCACATTTCTTAGTGCTCAGATGTTAGAGAAGCGTGTAAGGTAAACAGTATGCTCTCCCCAGAGCAGTCCCATTTCTTAGGTTCCCCCTGTTGGTCAGTTGTGTTGTTCTGGAGACTTGCTGCTGTAGCAGAGCGATGAAGGAGGATGCTGGCTTCAAATCCAGTCCCAGCTCTGCCACTCGCTAGCTTTGTGGCTTTAGGCCTGGTACCTAACCCCTCAAAACCTTGGTTTCCACGCCTGGAATATTAGGATAATGGTAGGACCTGCCTCCGCGTTCTTGTAAGGATAAATGTACCAGCTTACACAGAGGGTTTAGAACAGTGCCTGAAACATTAAGTGCTACAAAAATGTTGGCTACTTTATTATTTCTTCTGGTAGTTATTCATCACATGCCTGCAAGGATTCAGAGAGGTGATGTAAACGAGGGATGCTGCCTGAGAGTAACAAAAGTAAGGGTGACTCAAATTGAATTCCTCCTGTCCACACATAATTCGGTTGCATGTTAAAACCTTAGAACTTTATGATTTCCACAAGGAAATGGGTTTACTCTGATTTTTTTTCTTGAAACATGGCTGTCACTGTTTGTTTTTTCTTGTTCTGCCTTTGAAAGACATGGGAAAGAAGCATTTACATTGAGTGGGAGGATGAAGGCAGTCAGCCCTCGGGCTCTGGGCTAGGGAGACTGTTGATGGACCCAGGGCTGGTGAATCCCAGGGCACACGCGCGTCTCTGAGGTTTCATCCCGTGGATGCCATACAGGAATGTGGACCCATGGTTTTCACATCTTAACATTCTTTCAGAGAGATGGGGAATCACATTTTTATGTAACATCTCCAATTATGAAATTTCAGCTGAAAATGTCTTAGAATAATTTCCAGAATGAGTGAAGCATGTCTACAGGTTGCACCACCAGTGGTAGACTTCTGGCCAGAGCATTACCCTTGGATAGCCTTTCAGATTCTCTCCTTCCCTCTCTCCCTCCCTTCCTACATCTCTTCCTTCTTTCCTTCACATGAGAACTTTTTAAGGAGCAGGTATCAGTTAAGAGACCACCAATGTCCCCAGAAGATAAAATGATGGGGAGTTAGTCAATGGTGAACTCAAAGAGTTCTACTCATTTTGGCTGTGTTGTGGCTTCTTTTTGGGTAGCTGGTTATTCTCAAGTACTGCTTGTAGCTCTCCCGATGGCTACAGGTGGAGCAGAGTATTAATTACCAGTGGCTTTGGATTCTTCAGAATGAAGTCTGCAGTCTCTTTCCCCAGTTCTGATCCAGCCGTGTGGTTGAGGGATTCACAGTTGAGTTTTAGAGCTTTGTTCTAGGATGACATAACTTATGTTGACATAGCCTCAGAAAAAAACTTCTCTTTGCCCCCTAGTTTCTGACCAGAGTCCTTAAAAGCTTACTTTTATTGCACAACATGATTCCGTTGAAGCCGAGTTAACAAAGCATTGTATATTTAATCAAACCCCTCACCCTGTTAGTTCCCATAGAGAGCATGCTTCTGGAGAACATGTTTGGACCAAGCAGCAATTGTGTGACTTACTGTTGCCTGAATTTCATCGCTGTGATTTTTGCCGTATTCTGGTACCATCTATTTTATTGCATTCTTCAAATACTAAATTTGCAATTTAGCTTCATTGTAAGCTAAATAAAACATACACGCTCAGGTGTTTAAATTGCTTGCTGTTTTCTCCTAATACACATGAAATTACTACGTAGCTTGTAAACTAAAACATGTTGGTTTGTGAACTGCTGTCTGTGCTCCTGTACTGTATTTCTGGAAACACGATTTTACAGGAATACGAGAACACGTGTAATGTGTTTCATTAAGCTTCTCTCTTCCCTGGAGATGCAGAGGTTGAAATGACATCTGAATTCCTGACAGAATTCCTCATTTGAGTGACTTTTCAGGCGATAAGTTAGTGGGTACCCCATTTCAGTAGAGTTTATAAAGTCCCTTTCCCAAAATATAGTCTGCTTGCTAGTATGCACTCGGGTTATTTTGCGAGTTAGGCAGCCAGTGAGTGATGTAGGAAGAGAAGGTGTTTATTCAGAATTGTTTTAGTCTTACAGATTGCCCCCTTTTCCTGTGAGGAGCCAGTCAATAAATATTTTAGACTTTCCAGGTCTCTTGTCACAACTGTGCAACTGTTCAGCGCCGTGGTTGTGTTACTAAATCAGCCATTGGCAGTATGTGGCTATGACACTGAATTTTTAATTTCATATAATTTGTATATTTCATGAACTATGCCCCTCTCACTTCCCGATTTAAAAATGGTAAATACCATTCTTAGTTTGCAGGCCATAGCAGAACAATAGGTGGTATGCCAGATTTGGCCCATGGGTTGGTTTGCAAATTTCCATTATAGAGTAAGAGAAACTCCAAGTCAGTCCCCCCATTTTACAGAAGGCAAGTTGAGGTCTCTGTGAAGAGTAGGGGGGTGTGCCAAGGTTCCCACAGCCAGATCCTGAATCTAGACCGGCTTTCCTTGCATTGTACGCCACTGCCCTCTCCTGTTAGCAGTGATAATAGCATTTGGTTGAAGGAGAAGCGGGATATTTATTGAAAATGCCCCCACAGAGAGGCTGTAATTGAGATAAGACTCTGCTTTATCCAGAATTGTGTTTAAAACAAGAGACAGAGAGACTGCCATAGGATTGAAAAACCTTACTAGTTTCAGCAGTGAAAATTTTGTAACCAGCCACATAAAACAACACATTGGAATAAATCATTAAGTAAAATTTTTACGAGAGTTTAGAAACCCTCCTTTTGTTTGGGCCATTGAGAAGCTCAGAATCATGAGTCTGTAATCCGCAGGGCTGGATTTAGCTTTCTGAGAAGAACTTTGCCCAGCCAGAAGCCTTGCATTCCTGGTATCCTGGAATCCTGTCGTCTTGAGGGTCAGAGTGTTTTATATTCTCAGTAATTTGTATGCTTCCCCCTTTCTCTAGACCTCCTGGGCAGAATTGATGCCTTTGCCAATATTTGCTTGTGGGATCCTGATTTAAGTCATTAATATGTACAAGGGTAAGAGGGTAAGAGTCCTGGGGCCTGGCTTCCATCAGCCTCTGAGCTAACAGTGGTCCTTTGGTCTTATAGGTCCGCATGGGTTACTTTAGGAAGATGGGAAATGGTTTTCAGATACTCTTTTTTCCCCTGGGAAATCAGTACGTATTTTTTGTAAAACAATTGTTCATTACAAAAACTGAAGTCACAGGTAATCCCATCTCCCACAGTCGGCCCTTAGGTAAGTTTTCCTGGACTTTTCCTATGTTGGTTTATACATCATATTATCAAGTTGAAATCTTGATACTTCCAGGGATCAGCTAGATTTGGAAATGATCAGGGTCTGGAAGTGATGGGGACCGAGATGAACTAAAGCAGAAATCCTCTCCTCCCTGGGACCAGTTCCACACCCACGTGTGCTTGTGTCGCACTTCCCAAAGCAGTACTTTTCCGAAACATGTGCGCTGAGCTGGAGTGGTGTGCCTTTTCTCAAGGGCACTGGGATCTTTTCTTCTTGCTGGTTCTAGCCAAGTGGGAATGTGAGCTTGGTGTTGCCAGATTTCTGGTTGTTCAAGAAATGTCTGAAATATTTTTGTGAATGCAAACTACCCCAACTTCTGCACGTTGGCTCAAATTTAAAAACATTTTTTATTACTGCACCATGTGCATCTGTGAACTTCTTGGTCACTCGTTTGGTATAGCTTGTTAAGGGTTTTCTTTTTTAACTTAACCTGTGTTCTGAATACTTTTCTGTGTTAGTATATAACCATTCAGAGCAGCATTTCTGTCCTGTCCCAGCCCATCCAGTGATTCTGTGCCATGTAGCTCATTTGTGCGTGCCACCAGGAGTTGTGCAAGAGGAAGCCAGCCCTTTTAACACAGAGGTTGCTTCCAAGGCTTTGTAAGTAGAGGAACTTCAGCACGAATCATTACGTCCTCCACTGCCGCCCCACCCAGATTTTTTCTAATTTAATTCTAATGTAGTTCATGTTTCATGCCGTCAGAAGGGCACTCAGGACAGGCTGGGATTTTGTAAATGTAGATAATAAATGATGTGTTTTAGCCCACACTCGTGAATTGCACATCAAAGCACAAAATCTGATTAAATTATTTGTGACTTCAGAGGCAATTAGTTCTTCCTTTGGGCAAGATTTATGGCTTTATAAAAGGATTGGCATCCGTTTCAAAGCCGAATTGAAACGAGCATTTCCAAATGTCGTTCTGCTTTTGAAAACGTCTAGGCAAGAGTGATTTAAAGCAGGGTTTCTCAGTCTCAGCACTGCTGGCATCTTGGGCTGGATGATTCTGTCGTAGGGGAGTGTCCTGTGCACTAGAGGCCTAGACCCATTAGATGCCAGTAGCACACCTCTGCCCACAATGATCACAGCCCCAAACACCTCCAGGCATTGTCACATGTCCCTTCGAGGGGCAGGGTATGGTTACCCCTCCAGTCCCCATTGAGAACCATTGATTTAATGTACCATGCTTCTGAGTTTCAGCACTGATAACAAAATTCTCGTTGCTTATTGGAAGCTCTTCAATATTTATGTTTAACTTTTCATTGTTTTTCTCCCTGGATATAAAATATTCCTTTCAGATTTTATTAAT